TAAACACCTTGTTGACTGTCTTTTGATAGGTCATTTTTGCATTTTTTAATCCAAAATGCATCATTTTGTAATAGTAAAAGCTTTTCTTGGTAATAAAAATTATATTTTTCTCGTCATCTTTTAGCATTTTGATTTGATTGTGACTAGAATAGACATTCATAAAGCTAAGAAGACCATATTTGGCACTATCATCCACTGACCAATCTATGCTAAAAAGAGAAAAGCTATCTTTTGGGTATGTTTTGTTTAAGTCGTAAAGTCAACACACATTCTTTATTTTTGCTATGCTTTTTGACCATGACCACATTAGCTAACCATTTGGGGTAATAGACCTTTCTGATAAAACCTACTTATAATAATCTATCAGCCTCTTTTTCAATAGCCCTTTATCTTTTTAAGGTAAATGTTATCTTCTTTTGTCAAACTAGTTTTACCTTGAAATTAGTGTGCAACCTATGAACTGTCACATCGGTATCAATTTCAAACATATCGAATAATGTTCAGGCAAATAGGACGACATTATTTCTCAAAAATTGAATTAATTGATCACTGTGTTAAAGTTTAGTTCCAATTTGCATGTGTTTTTCAATGACGTTATCCCAAACTGGTATAGCTATGAGATTATCGATTGACTCAAATTATTTTGTCTAAGTCTGATCTTTGGTCAATTATCTTTTTTTATTCGGTTAGGTCAGAACCATTTCTTACGAAGATAGATTTTGACTTTATGATTAATACATTATTAGTGACTTGCTAAAATGCATGGCTGAATTAGTACATATTTTTTATTTTAAACTATATTTTGATTAGCGTATTAGGTCGATCTAAATGACAGATAATTATTTACAGCGATTTAAGAGTTCGATTATCTTTAGAGCCATTCAAAAATTTTAAAAATAGAACAAAAGATGCCTTTTTGTTGGAGCTTAAAAGCTTAGAGTTGCTTAAGAGTACGCTTCTATCAGGTCGATCTTATATTGTATGTTTTTGCTCATGGTTTCTTACTTTTTCTCTATTTTTACTGTTTATCCTTCTTTAATGCTATCGATTTTGATCAAACTACTAGTTTCTTCTAGTTCCTTCATTTCATTATTGTGACATAACACTATCACGCCATGGACTGGTCTCCCTTAACCTCTTTAACCTAGTTAAGGTGTTGAAAATTTTACTTTTAGATAAGGAGTTGAGCCTATGAGCTACATAACAGATTGGCTAGATTAGCCTAATATCATATTGTAGGCAAATAAAATGTCCATAAACCATAAAGTCTATGATCAAGGTGATAGTCTTCGATTTTATCCTCAAATAGATCAGTAGCTTAATTATTCTTTTTATCAGTATCTACTCATTCTTAAATTCCATTAGTGTTGTACTAATCAGTTATAACTGGTCTTCATTAATTTTTATATTTTTTATGGTGCCATAATACATGACGTTAGTTGAACTACTATTATCGAACAGGATTCTCTTGACTACATAATTGTATATTATAATTGTGATTACTAGAGCATCATTTTTTGGGTGTTGGATTACTTTTAAATTTTTCAGATTGCATGAGATCAATCATTTTTTTAGTCTTTTTTTGTCAAGATGCCTATGACCATGATCATGTCTGGATTGAACTTTCTTTTGGCCAAGGTTGAGTTACCTCCAATGATCATATTAATCACTCCAATGATCAGCCTGTTGTTATCTATTCAAGCTTTTCTCATATCGGCTTATCTTTTTAAACTTTTTTTTTCATCTTCTGGTTTTTTTTTTACCTCGAATGTGCTATCTTTAATCTTGTTTGTGGTCCATTTTGGGTTGATTTTATTTTCACTGCTCTACAAACCTCTTCAACTAACCTTTTATTAATCATTATTAAAGCTTCGATCTTATTTTTTAGGTTGTTATAATCTTTAGTATTGTGGCCTATGTCCCTATGAAAGGTATATTTTTTAGTTGAATCCCTTCTTGTGTTCTATCTTAGTGGTTTCGACCATCTAAGGTCAAGATTTTTCTCAATTTACATCAAAATTTCTCTCAAAAGGTATTTAGTGTGGTGTAGTTCTTTTCTCCACTAGTGTTTTTAGCCCTATGTCGTTTTTCTTTTGAGAAATGATCATAAAAATCCTTACCTTTTTTACGATCAATAAAGAAATATGAGTCTCTCTTACCTTGCTTGTTTCTCATTGTAACTTCGGTATTTATATATTTTTCAACTACAAGTAAGACATCAGCTAGAGTTTTAGGTAGTTCTAGTGACAATGTCAACTTTATGAGATATACTCTGTTATTGAGTCTATTTATTAGGGTGACTATAGTGGTCGTTTGCTTTGGGTTTGTAACCTGCAGAGCTTTCGCGTTAAAATGCATGACATAGCTCTTTAAAGATTCATTGTGACCTTGGTGGATCGACAACAAACTCAAAGTTATTTTCTTCATCTTACGACTACTTACAAATTGAGATAAAAAAAGTGACTGAACTCTTTGAACATAATAATTAACCTCAGTTCTAGGCTATTGTACCAGGATCAAGTTGATCCCTTTAGAGTAGTAGTAAGGCCTTTACACATCAAAGCCTCGTTTGTATCTTACATCATCATGTTAGTCCTATAAATTTTTAAATGATCAAAGGGGTCAAAAGTACAGTCATAGGTTTCTAAGGTCGACATTTTAAATATTTGAGAGGTATGATGATTCCATCGATCTCTTTGGGTAAGGGGTGAAGTCTTGAAAAATTTAAGCTCATCATCAAATAATACTACTTTTATTTTCATATTTTTCTCTATAGCCTATATCTAAGCTTTCAGGTCCTTATTTGGTTGGGGTTTGATGTTTTTCTGTTTGAATTTTTAGGTCATAGCATGTATTAAATTGTGACTGAAGTAGTGGCAGATTGGGGTATTATGCTCCTTTTCTTTGGAGGTCGATGAGGCTTCTATCTCTTTATAACTTGGTTATCTTACTACGGCTCTTCAGCCAAAGGTGATTAGGTCAAACACTTTCGAAACTTGTGGTGGAGTTATGGTTTACAGCATCTGTGTTAGGGCCTATATTTGCTTGGTCAAAGCTAGAAATTGTTTGATGGTTAGACCAGTTTGTGGTGGGGCAAGTTGGTCCAAGTGTTGGTTATTATGCATTTTCGTTTCGACTGAGATGACGGCCTCTTATTCCTATAAAGTTCTTTTTCTAGGTGCATTGTTTCACTCTCAGCTAGTGAGTGGATAAGGTCCCTATCTGGCACACCAAATGTTTGTGCTGAGCTCCGATCTCAAAATATTCTTGAAATTCAAGACGGAAGAGAAAGACTGTTAGAGGTAAAGGCAGAAAGTGTTCTCTGCGTTTGCATTCTGACGTGTAAATCAAAATAAGTGAGGTCGGAATAGGGGTAGTAAGGAGAATTTGGAGTAAATTGAACTTGCCTTAATGGTGCCTAGACCTTCGTATTTATAGATAAGCAATAAGGGACCATTAATGGATAATAATGATGTGGCTGAGCTGATGTGGTATTAAGTATATCAGACCAACTTGACATGTCAAGTTGACAGTAATATTAGAATTATCCATGATTGTCTATTGAAGGCTTTTAACGTAGAAAAAGATTATTATACTTTTTTTACCACTAAATATCCCCACAATAATCTTTTAACTTTAAGTGCGACGTTTAAAAAATTTATGATGTATGATATAAATTTTTTTTTCAATTAAAAATGTTCATTAATGACTAAAAATGTTTTTCTAACACTCACTGGATAACTTTTTGGGCTTTAGGAATTGGGAAAATGTTCATGAGGACATTAAGAAAAAGTTTGAACTCAACAAATAAAAAATAGTCGCAAGAAAAATTATCTCATCAACATTAAGTAGAGTTTAAAATTTTCCATATTAGAAAATTGCATTAGTCATTATTATGTTATATTTAAAAATAATAAATTCATAAAAAAAAAGAGGTATGTGATAATATTCTAACAAGTTTTGATTTCGTATATTTAATTTTGTATGAGTTATCACAAAATTTAAAATAAATTTAAAATCACAAAATAAATTCATTAAAAAAATAAATATCTAACATCTAACTAGAATGAAAGTTGTCTATATGATTTATATAATAACATATTTGAAAATTTTTGAGGTGAAAAGAGATATTTTAGGTTTTTGTTTACATGACTTAGGATGATGATGTATGTAATTAAAAAATGTTGAGATGAAAGGGATACTTAGGTATTGCAATTTAAATTTAGAAACCATAGTTAAGCTTGTATGTTCTTTTTCTCATGATTATTAGTTATATATATTTTCATTTGATAGGTTAATTTAATTTTTTATAGTTTAATTTATTTAAGATATTTGTTTGAATATTTTTATATTGATTTTATATGAAATAATTTTAATATAAGATCATTATAATTATATATTATATATGTTTGTCATTTTTATTTGAAAGATTTTGATATTTTAATATAAGATCATTATAATTATATATTATATATGTTTGTCATTTTTATTTGAAAGATTTTGATAGTTTTTCTTTAAATCTTAACATTATTAATTATATTTAATTGATATTTATTTATACTCAAATCATATTAATAATTAAAAAATATTAAATCCACAGTGAAAGATTACCCTCGTACTAATGTAATATAAATAAAATTATAAATTATAAATATTAAAATTTAAAAATAATTAAATAAATCAAGTGTATCCAATGTTGAGTACGTTTCTCGAATCGAGAAAACCGTAAATAAAAGTAAAAAGAGAATCAATTAACGGGTCGTAGAGAGATGCTGGCCAGATCTCCTTTAAATCAACCGAAATGCGAAGACCATGGGCCGAGATAAGCCAATTTAAGTGGTTGGCCCAGAAACCTTGGGCATTCAAACCCAACCTAAGAAATCTCACTTACCAAACTTACACTTTAGGAATTTGGATCTTCCAATTACCAAACACACGCAAAACACAACAACATTATCATCCAAACTGCCATTGCTCATTTCTTTTCTTGCGCACCAGATCTTATCTCTCTCTCTCTCTCTCTCTCTCTTTTTGAAAGAATCTTATCTATCTCTTTTACTAAGCAAACGCTCCACACATATTTCCACATGGGGAATGTCGGGTATGTTATTTGGGCTTGAAACTAGGCCTATTTTTGGTGTTTGTTTGGGGCTCTCTTTGCTTTTTGGGCTCTCCTTCACTTTTGGTTGATTGAGTCTAATGGTAATTTTCTCTCACTTTTATTCTCAACGATGACGCACATCGCCATAGTCCTACTCACAGGAAAATATCAAGTGTGGAGGGAAAAACAGAAGAGTGGCCGCGCAATTGATCATGGAAGAGCTTAAGCTATTTGATCATTGAACGATTATCGGCTACAATTTCCAAACGAAAACCATCAATGGGGGCAACATTATCGTCAATGGAGGCGTGAGGTCATGGAGAGTGGCTTTTATCACTCTGAGAGACAAAAGCCTAACGAGCCCTCCTTCCATCCCTCAACTTGTCCAATCACTAATCTTCTCTCACTCTCACTCTTCTTTCATCTCTGCCGCCCCCGACTCCCTTCGTACGAGGAATCTTTTTTCTTTCAAGAATTCCACTTATTTTTACTTTTCCTTTTCACTTGATGCTAAAGCTTTCCAAATTTTATTTTCAGGTGACTTCCGATCTATTATTGCTTATTCATCTTGTTGCCAATGCCTCCCAGTTTCAACAAGATTTGATCCCCACCTTTTCCAACACCTGCCACTTGGTATTTCAATTTCAATTACTCTTGCTCTTCCTTTATTTATTTGTTTGTTATATAGTTACTGATTGTTTCCTTGTTTACCTAGATCCATGATGTCAGTCGTCGAGTTTCTCTCGATATGAATTCCTCATTGTGGACTCTGCTTCTCGACTCGTTTGGCAAAACGACGGATTTTTTTCTTCACAAAGCAATCTCTAATGCTGCTTTGTATAAACCAGTTTTGCAATGCTTAGAAACTCTCAGGTTTACTCAAATTTTCATGCTTTTATATTCCCTTTTTCAATTTTTTTTTCATGCTTGCCCAAAATGATAAGTTTTTGGTCCCCAGATATCTTGTCTGTGAAAATCAACGAAAATGCTCTCTGTCGGATGATATTCAGTTGGTCAATTTTCTTATCCATGTCAATGCACGTTCCCACTTGGATTTGATCTCCTTGTATCGTCCAAGTGGCTATCAAAAGAGTGCTGTTGAAATGGGAAAGAAATTACCCCGATATGGTAGTGTATGGGAAGTTCAAACTGTTGCCTTTACTATTCTTGGTGAAGTATATTCAAGGACTGGTTCTTCTTTTCCGGTTGATATGTGGCAATCAACTATTCAGGTAAGTTCTGTACTTGGCTTTGATGGCATCTGTAAACGAGTCACTAAGATTGAGTTTTCTGAATTAGGTTCTTAGGAAGGTGATGGACTTATTAGCATCCAAGAATTTGGTTGTTGAAGACATTGTCATGTTGAGTTATGACTCTTCCCTCCCATGCCTCCCTTATCCGTGAAGAGAAATTGAGAAAATAAAGACAGATATTGCTCTTTCAAGTATTCATAAACAATTTTTCTTGTTGCGTACACGTTTTATGCATCTCTTTTCCATTGCCTTCATTTGGTTCTTATGGATCGTAAAGGTTCTATTTCTGAAAGTGGAAGTAAATCATTACAACTTAGGGCTATAATGTTAATTCATAATTATTAAATTATTTTTTGTCTTTGCTACTTAATGGATGTAAAATGTACATGCAGGTGTCTAGTTTTGTGGCATACTTGCGAATGTTTTTTGTTTATGGCCTTACTAGCCAACCCCAACTCGTGTGCTGCTATTGGTTGCAAGGAGAAAGAACCTGGTTCACTGAGTCTTAAGTTGACTTCAGAAGAGCCTAAAAGAACAAATAATACTTTGTATAGGCCTCCACACTTGTGCAAAAAGGATGGTTTAACTATAAGGCGGGCTAAAGCTCAGGATCCTCAGAGTTCTTCTGATTATGATTCTTCTATTGTTGATATTACATTGTCAGATTCTGATTACAGTGACAATGATGGATCACTTAAAGATATTAATAGTTCTCGGTGCTCAAAGGTTAGAATATCTGCCATTGTTTGTGTACAGGTAAGTTTATGACATCAATCTTTCTTACATGCGGCTCACTTTTGATTTTTAGGTTTTTCAAGGTTTCTGCAGCTATAATAGCCTAGTTCAAGGTGATTTTTGAGTATTCCATATTAAATGTGGAAAAACTTTGAAAGTTGCAAATCTTGTTTTTGATCTAGGAATTGGTGGGAATATGCTCATCATAATGAGGATGATACCTAAACCTAGGTTGTACATTATACTCGAGTCTTCTCGAAATTGTTAAATTCACTGATTAGTCATATGAATTGACATTAGGAATGACTATGAATTCTAAACTGATATGGCATGAAGGGATCCTTTTTTTGGATAGCTTGTTTTCTTTGTTTGATTTGATATTCTGTGCATTTAGGATTTCTTATATCAGAATATAATTAGGTTTGAAGTCAACTTAAATTGTTTTATACAGTCAGTTGCATCACATGATTTTGAAAAATAAATAAAATGCTATTTTATGCTTCCTAAATCTTTTATCAGTACATTTTTAAGTCCTTCCTCAGCATTTACAGGATTTCTTATATCAGAATAGAATTAGGCTTGCTGCGTGACATTTCCTGGCTTCATTTTGTTCATTAATGGGAAATGTAGTAGTGAATGATAATTGACACTGAATTCTAATTGAGGCTTCTTTGGTTGTGTTTGTTCCTGATGAAGGATCTTTGTCAAGCTGACCTCAAATCCTTTACATCTCAATGGACAATGCTTTTGCCTACCAATGATGTACTACAACCAAGGTAATGTGATCCATATTTTTCATATTGAGCTAATTTGTCCTTGGATTCTCTTTTTTTCTTCCTTTTGTTTTCTGGTAGCAAGTTGTCTTTGCTTTACATTTATTTCACATAGCTGACTGCAGGAAATTTGAAGGCACTCTGATGGCATCCTTACTATTTGATCCTTACTTAAAGGTACAGTTTCTATTGTTTGTAAGTTTTTTTCTTTTAAAATCTGTTTTTTTTTTTTGCCAATTATTTAACATCTAGGCCTCATACTTAATTTAGTTGACAATCATTGGATTATGATGTGTTCATTGATATTTATTGCTTTACATCAGCTAGTTGGAAGATGTTTTCCTTAACCTCACTGGTGTTTCTTACTTACATGTGCAATTTTGTGATGCCTAGGCACAGATGGCATCGGCCTCAGCTCTCGCTGTCATGATGGATGGGTCTACTACTGTTTTTCTTCAGGTAGTGGAATACAAAGAATATACTGAATGCGGATCTTTTACGGCACTTTCTAGTTCTCTTGGCCAGATACTAATGCAACTGCATACTGGTACTTGAAATAATTGTGCTGTGCAGTATGACTGGTATTTTTGCAGACCGTGCTTGCTTTTGGTACTTTCTATTTGTGTTTCTTGCCATTTTTTAATCTATAGTTTTATCTTTATCTGTCTCCTTTGTGATGTAGGTATTTTATACTTAATTCAACACGAAACTAATAGTCGGTTGCTGTTGTTGGTATTCAAGATTTTTATGCTTTTGATATCATGCACACCGTATGAGTCTTCCTTCTCATACCTTCTCATGGTTGTTAAAATACTTTTTCTGCTTTCTTTTTTAGCTGGCAATTTGTTCCTTCACAGTTAATGCTTTCTATTGCATTTATATTCTTATGATGCTGAACCTTGTTGTCAGACTCAAATTCTCTATCCGATATTAGAACACTGATCTGTATAATCTTGTTGGTGGCAAAATAGAGAGAAAGGTGGTATTTCAGAATAAAAGAACCTTGGGAACATTGTTGGCTAGGTGGTTTATACCTAGGTAGAAAAAAGAAAAAGAAAGATAGTGAAGAGATATTATAAAAAGATGGGGTTATTTCAAAGTCAGTTTTGTAACTTTTGAGTGGCCTTATATCATCCCCTCCTCATCTCTCTCTTTTCCTTTTCTGCTAATCATGTTTTGTACACTCTCAATATCATGATATTCTGGTCAGTCTTGGATACTGATAGATTATGCTTTCACATTGTGCATGCAAAATGATGTACACATATATGCTCTTTTGTAATCCAGTTTAGTACAGGTTTACAATTCACTAAACTGATAAGAACAAACAAGATACTTCAATCAATTCTATTTTCAGGGGTTCACTTAGATTTTATGAAGGATTTGATTCACAAAAATATTTTAATGGTGAATAAGAATCTGAGTTTCAATCTATAAGGAAAATCCAGTGTGGTTCTTATTGGATGCTTTAGATGCTTGAATAGGGACTTATTTGCTCCTTTATTAAGTTCATGTGTTGCCTCCTTTCATCTTTTGAGAAAAGCTTTGCATATGTTTTTTTTTTTTTTTTTTGGATTTATTGCATTTTGTTTCTTATAATTTTACAGATATTCATGAATGCCAGGAGAATTGTTGCCCACTGTAATTTTGTCGTTACAAGCAAGGATTGAAGCAGGTTTTCCATTCAAAAGTGATCAGACAGGTCTACAGGTTAGGGTTTTTGTAAATTGTTTTTATTATTTTTTGCTTCCCTCTTCATCAGGCCCAGCTCTTACAATGGTGTGAATAGGCAGCATTTTCAGGAATTTTTGGTTATCTTACTTCTTTTGTTAGGTTGCTGCTATTAGTTGTTTGATGGCTGCTTTATCAGTTTCACCTTCAATCCAAGTCAAAGAAATGATCTTAGAGGAAGCGTTGACAGGTTACTCACTTTTCATTGTGTAATAGTTATAAACCTTGTATGAATTTTTACTTAATTGTTATTATTGGCAAAATTATTTTTTCTTTTTGGGTAGGCTTTCCCTATTTTCTTTTTTTTTTTTTTGGGGGGGGGGGGGAGAGGGGGGAGGAGACGGATTTCAGTTTGTGAAACTAATTAAGCATGTATGGTAATCGTTGAGATTGATTTCACATGAAAAGGTTACTAAAACGCATTATGCTGATTGCTTAAACCCTTGTTAATAAAATTAAAAGCATGGAGTTAGTAACATGCTTTTATAACATCATCTCATGCTGAGGTGAAGAGAGAGGAATTTGATTGATTGAATGCTAGTGAAAGAGTCAGAGAGAGGGAGGCACAGGAATCAACTCTACTCTTAACCTTTTGTTCTTGGTGCTCAATTTTGTTTTTTAAACATTTTGTATTATCACTAACATGTCTTTCATAAAAGATTAGTTTTTTTACCTTTATCACTTTCCTCATGTATCCTTGCATGCTGTCGTACTCTTTTTTTTTTAATAAGTTTTTCACTATTCTACTAATTGAAAATGTTGGAACTTCCATATGTATGTGTAAGTGTTTGGACATCATTGCATTGGACACCATATCTAAGAGGTTTGAGAATAATGCCAATCGTGCCTTGCTTTTCCCCAATTTTGTGAACCAAGTCCCCGCTGAACATTTCGCACATGGTTCATGGAAATGTTTCCTTGAGGAGAAATTATTGCCCTATCTCATTTATAATTGGAGATTTTATTTTGGTACATTGCAAAGACACCTGAATGGGAGTGTGTGTTATTCCTTTGGTTCTTTCAATGAACGATGATAATCAATCCTTGAGTTCTTTTTTTTATTTTATTATTTTATTTTTTTGGTTGAGTGTTTCATTGATGTGAATAGACCTTTCTGTGTGTACGGACTCCATTCCAGTTTTGCATCGGCTCATTTTAGTTCTTGAGTTTTGTGTTGTATTCAAGTAGCAAAAAAATTTTTTTTTTTTGTTTGGCTCTCTTTTACAATTATTTGCTAAGTTGACCTTGGAAATATATTTGAAGCCTATTCCAGGTTTTGTGGAGGCTGATAAGAAGTCAGGTGTTCTTTTTACATTACTTCAACATTCTGCAAGACTAAGAAACACAATGATATGCTTTGAAGCACTTCAGGTAATTTCAAGTAAAGCTATAAGCATTTAATGTATTGGTTAATTATGTGGAGTTTTGGTGGCTCACGATTTGGTACTTATATTCAGATAGTTTGTATTGTTGGCCTTGAATTGATTAAAAGTTTTGATTTGACAAAACAAAAAATTTGCCTAACTTGAATCAATCTCCCCTATTCTTAAATTGAACAATTTTCCACCCTTCTATCTTGTCAAAAGTCATTTGGGAACTAAAACAAGATAAATTCTAGGAATAAAAGGGATTAATGCATGTTTTGATAGAAGGGATTGATCCTCTCCCTTACCAGATTGATCCCCTAGCAAAGGGATCGATCCATTTTTCTTCAAGAAGCAAATTTCGTCAAGTTTTGGCAAGAATCAATCGATCCCCTCCCTATAGGGATCAATTGGTTGTGGTTTCAAGCTTACCTGATCGATCCTTTACTTAAAGGGATCGATCACTTTTTTACACAGAATGTTTTCCTAGCTCAAAATTTCAGAAAAAGGATCGATCCCTCCATTTAAGGGATCGATTTGTTTTGAAATAGAATGCTTTTCTCGTTTGAAATAAGCAAAAGGGATCAATCCCCCAAATAGGGGATCGATCACCCAAGAATGGATTGATTAGGTGCATTACCTGATCAATCGGGTAAGGCATTTTCTGCACGATTTTGGGGTGTTTCAAAGCTAACCCAATCAATTCCCTAAAATAGGGGATCGATCTCTTGAGTCCCAGAAAGTTTCAACGGCTATATTTTGTTTGAAATTTTTGCAGGTTTGAAGCATTAAATGCAAGGCAACGGCTCTTAACTTATTCCTGCCTATAAATGAAACATTCCAATGCAGAACAAGAAAAAAAGAAGAGCTAAGAGAAATTATTGCTATTCACCTACCATTTTGTTCAAGCATTTAAAGCAGTTCAAAGAGAGAAAAGTGTAGAAAATCCTACTTGTATCAATTTTTCTCTAAATTTCCTTGTCAATACAGTTATGTACTTCAAATTAGCAAACATCCAACCTAAGAGAGGTTTTTTAAGTTTGCAAAACATTTTCAAAAATTTTGTATTGTGAGTTTGTGAGCTTAAGGGGAGGATAATCCTTAAAAGTTTGTGATGTTGATTGTGTAAAGCTTTGAGAAGTTAGGTTGTATCTTTCAACAAATAGTGGATTGAACTCCTTAGCAATAGAAGCTAAGAGAGAGGACGTAGGTGCCTAAAGAAAGGACCGAACCTCTATAAATCTTGGTGTCCAGTTCTCTAACTCTAACTTTTGTTTACTCTCATTCATTGTGTTTATTTGCTTAGATAAATTGTTTTGTTGAATTTGTAATTATTAAGTATTGATTTTGAAAATTTTATTATAACCAATTCACCCCCTCTCTTGGTTTATTTAAAGTCTTTGAGCTAACAATTGGTATCAGAGCTAGTATTCTTTTTTTTAGGTTTAACAATCCAAGAGTGATCCTGAAAATGGCTCAAAGAAACATGGTGATCAATGTGGCTGGCTCAAAGAAACATGGTGATCAATGTGGCACAACCATCCTTCAAGCTACAACAAATAGAGTGGCCAACAAGAGGTGTGTCTCATGGCAAATGAAATAGTTGCAACATCTATTGGAAGTGAAGGGCATTCAATTGTAAGACCCCTTCTCTTTGTTGGTGACAACTACTTGTATTGGAAGACTAGGATGGGGCTGTTCATTCAAGCTAATGATTATCAAGTTTGGAGGGTCATTGTAAATGGTTCTCAAATTTCAATGAAAATGGTGGATGGTAGGGAGGTGATCAAGCAAGAGAGTGAATGGGATGTAAATGATATAAAGATGGCTAAACTCAATGCCAAAGCAATGCATATACTTTTTTGTGCATTGGGGCCTAATGAGTACAATAAAGTTTTTTTGTATGAAAATACAAAAGAAATTTGTGATAAGTTAGTTGTCACTCATGAAGGTACAAATCAAGTAAAGGAGACAAAAATTGGCATGCTCACTCATGATTATGAGTTATTCAAGATGAAACCAGATGAAACCATTAGTGAGATGTCAAACCGCTTCACTGACATCATTAATGGTTTAAAGGCTCTTAGGAAGACTTACTCAAATGTGTAGATGGTGAAGAAAATTTTCAATAGTCTACCAAAGAGTTGGGAAGCTAAAGTGACAGCAATTGAAGAGTCCAAAGATCCTCACACTCTCTCTTTGGATGCACTAATAGGTTTTCTCCTTACCTATGAGATGAAGCTCAAAAGGGGGCAAGAACCAATCAAGAAAGGTGGCATTGCTCTCAAATCTACCTTTCAAGAAGATGAAGAAAATCTTGGACAAGAAGAGGATGATGAAGATGAAAAGATAGCCATGTTTGCAAAGAGATTCAAGAAGTTCATGAGGATGAACAAGTTCTCAAGTAGAAGAAGACCACAAAGGGAAATGGTTAAAGGGAGAATCAAGTCGAAGAGAAAATGAGCAAATTATTTGCTATGAATGCAACAAATCGGGTCATATTAAATTTTATTGTCCTTTGTGGAAGAGGCAAAACATGACAAAGCCAAAGAAGAAAGCAATGGTTGCAACATGGAGTGATAGTGACTTTTCGAAGATGAGTCAAATGAGGAGGAAGTAGCCAATCTATGTCTCATGGCTCTTGATGAGCCCAAGGTAACTTTTAATCCATATGATTTAAATTCATACACATTTGATGAATTGCAAGATGCTTATGATGAATTAGCCATAGAATTTGAAAACATGAACATGAAATATAGGAAAATGATCTCTAAGTTGAAACTAGAAAATGAACTCTTGACTAAAGCAAATGATGACTTAAAAAAGGAAGTTGAGCTCTTAAAGTTGAATGTCAATGACTTGACTAAGAAAAATGAAAATTTGCATAACTCATTTTCTAGATTTTATATGGGACATTAAAAACTCAATGATATGCTTGAAACACAAAGAGCATTCTTTGATAAAGATAGATTAGGCTATAATGGTGGCAACAAAGAGACTCATTTAAATAATTTTCTTGTTAAGCCAATGATTCATCTAGCATATATGCATATTGTCATAAATTGGGTCAATTTATACAATATTGTTCTTTGAAGAAAGTCACCTATAGAGGTAAGCTCATTAGGAGAGTGTGGATTCCAAAAAGAGTTAGCACATCTCAAAATAAGATGACTAAAATGAAGTGGATTCCAAAAGGCACAAAAATTGTTAGTGCTAACACTTAAGGACCCAAGAAAATTTGGGTACCCAAAACAAAAATTTAATTGTGTTTTTGTAAGTGGATGAGCATTGTTACAAAGCCAATTCAAGCAAGAACAATCCATAGTACCTTGATAGTAGATGCTCAAAACACATGACCGGAAACAAAACTCTTTTTAAGGATTTAAAAGCTAAGAGTGGAGAAGATGTTACATTTGGTGACAACTCTAAAGGTCAAATTGAAGGGATTAGCTCCATTGGTAACAATTCTTCTACTACTAGTGAAAATGTTTTACTTGTAAAAAGACTCAAGCATAACTTATTATTAGTCAATTATGTGACAAAGGACTTAGAGTTGTGTTTGAATTCATGTGCTGTAAAGTAATTGATATCAAAACTAACAAGCTTGTTTTTGTTTGACATCGTCAAGGAAATATTTATGTGGTGCATTTAGATGATCTTTCCTCTAAAAATGTTTGTTTTATGGCTCAAAAAGAAAATGAAAGTTGGACTTGGCATAGAAGACTTGGACATGCAAGTATGCATGTAATTTCAAAACTTTCTCAAAATGATTTGGTTATTGGTTTGCCAAAATTGAAATATGAAAATGATAAGGTTTGTGATGCATGTTCTTAAGGAAAACATAGAAGAATTTCTTTCAAACCTCAAAATTGCATTTCAACTACTAGACCTTTTCAATTACTTCATATTGATCTTTTTGGTTCTATTAGGACAATGAGTCTTGGTGGAAAACAATATGGGTTTGTTATTATTGATGACTTCACTAGATTCACATGGGTTCTTTTCTTGCATTCAAAGAATGAAGCTTTGAAAAAATTCATCACTTTTAGCAAGCAAATACAAAATAAAAAAGGCTACTCAATTTCTAGTATTAGAAGTGATCATGAAAAGAATTTGAAAATTTTGGCTTTAATGTGTTTTGTAGTGAAAATGGTATTAGCTACAATTTTTCTGCTCTTAGAACTCCTTAACAAAATGGGATAGTAGAAAAGAGAAATAGCTTTAGAAGAAATGGCTAGAACCATGTTTTGTGAAAATAATTTATCTATATATTTTTGGGTGGAAGTCATAAATACTTCTTGTTATATTATAAATAGAGCTATAATTAAGTCAATTTTGAAGAAAACTCCCTATGAGCTTTTTAAAGGAAAAAGGTCTAACATAAGTTATTTTCATTCTTCTGGTTGCAAATGTTTTGTTTTGAACAATGGAAAAGATGATCTTGGAAAATTTGATGCAAAAAGTGATGAAAGGATTTTCCTAGGATATTTTTGGAATTCAAAAGCCTATAGAGTCTTTAATAAAAGAACATTAGTTGTTGAAGAGTCTATACATGTTATTTTTTATGAGTCTAATCCACTTCCCATAAAATGTGTCTCTTGATGATGATGATGATGATGTAGGTATATTTCAAGAAAATGTCAATGATGCATCACTTGACATTGAGGAGAACAATCAAAAGGAAGATGATGAGTTTCTAGAAGAGCCACAACATATAGAGAAAAAGCTAAATCACCATAGAGAAAGGAGATATGTCAAAAGATAGTAAAATTATTGGTGATCCAACTCAAGGGATAAGAACTAGATCTTTTTATAATGTATGTAATTATGTTGCTTTCCTATCTCATATTGAATCCAAGAATATAGATGAAGCCTTAGGAAATGATCATTGGATATTGGCCATGCAAGATGAATTGAACCAATTTGAAAGAAGTCAAGTATGGAATGTTGTATCTAGGCCTAGTGATCATCTCACTATAGGCACCAAATGAATTTTTAGGAATAAAATGGATGAGCATGGGAATGTTGATAGAAACAAAGCTAGATTGGTAGCTCAAGGTTATAGTCAAGAGAAAGGAATTGATTATGATGAAACTTATGCCCCGGTTGCAAGGTTAGAAGCCATTAGAATGTTGCTTGCATTTTCATGTTTTAAAAATTTCAAGCTTTTTCATATGGATGTCAAGAGTGCATTTCTAAATTGTTTTATAAATGAAGAAATGTATGTAGAGCAACCTCCCGGCTTTGAAAATCCAAAATTTTCAAATCATGTTTATGAATTGGCAAAAGCTTTATATGGTTTAAAACAAGCTCTCAGAGTTTGGTATAAAATATTGTCAAATTTTTTAATTGAAAATGGTTTTAATAGAGGGAAGGTTGATACTACAATTTTTATTAAAACAAAAGAAAAGGACATTCTTATAGTGTAAGTTTATGTTGATGATATCATATTTGGTGCTGCTAATGAAGTTCTTTATCAAGAATTTCTAACATTATGCAAGGTGAATTTGAAATGAGCATGATGGGAGAACTCACATTCTTCTTAGGACTACAAGTAAAGCAAACAAAAGATGGCACCTTCATCAATCAAGCCAAATACATCAAAGATTTGCTCATAAGGTTTGGATTGGAAGAATCAAAGCCTTGTTTAACAACTATGAGCACTTCAACAAAACTTGATAAAGATGAAAGAGGTAAATGTGTTTGACTCTAAATTATAAAGGTCTATGATTGGTTCATTGCTATATCTTACGGCAAGTAGATCAGATATAATGTTTAGTGTATGTTTATGTGTTAGATTTCAATCTTCACCTAAAGAATCACATTTATCTGCTGTTAAAAAAATTTTTAGATACCTTAAGGATACCTCTAATTTAGGATTATGGTATCTAAAAGGTTCATCTTTTGCTTTACATAACTATTTTGATGCGGATTTTGGTGGATGCAAAATTGATAAAAAAAGCTTATATCATGGTTTGGAAATATGCTCATATATTACATGCCTATTACTTGTCAATTGTTTGAAAATATGCTCGTTTTTCAAGAAATAAAATAGTGTTGCTCAATCCACAACCGAAGCCAAATATGTAGCGGCTGGTAGTTGTTGTGCTCAAGTTTTGTGGATTAAGTAACAATTGGAGGATTTTGGAAAAACCGTGGATCGTATTCCCATTAAATGTGACAATACTAGTGCCATCAATCTCACCAAAAATCCAATTCAACACTTTAGAACCAAACATATTGAAATTAAGCATCATTTTATTGGAGATCATGTTCAAAACGTTTGAAAGAATGCTATATTAGGACTTACTAAAGACGAAACAACAAAAGTCTTGTTTTTCCTTCGCGATAGTGAAGAATACATAGGAAGTGATTCCAGCAAAATAAGTTACCAATGCAGTTGTAATCTTTTAGAGAAAAAAAAAAGCAGTTTAGTGTCATACGCAGGTAATAACAGAATACTTGAATCTTGTTAGATGTGTGCCTACCACCTTCAATAAAATTGAATGAGATAATAATCACAATGTAAAAAGTAAAACCCCAAGTTTTATCTAACTCTTTGATATTCTTCATTGAAAATTAATTCGAAGGACAAATAATTAGTACCAACAACTGCAGCATGCAGTAGAATTTATCCAACTGTTCAACATCTATTTGTCAACCAAATAGATAAAGATAAGGAATAAAATAAAGGGTATGGCAGCTATCATAAGTTATTCTAGGTGTTTTAACAGATAGTTGAGTATGGTTAAAAAATAAAGAATTTTATAGATAACAGGTTATCAAAAATTTATTCATTCCTCTAGTGTTTATTGTCATCAATCTTATATACTTCTCACATTGTGGTGCTTAAACAGTTAAATTTCACCAGTTAAAACATTTGCTATCTCATATGGTACCAATGGCCATCCATACTAAATCAGAATTCTTAAGCTTCTCCAAGAGTTGCCTGCAAGTTCAAAATTTTGATTTTCAAATGTGTTTCCATTCAACATTATCATATTTTAGCTTTAATTTTTTTGCCCCTCGAAGTTAGGAATCATTTACAGCATGACATAATTGGCCAAGAAGTAGATATTCAGAGGAGAAAGTTAAGGCAAAGAGAATTATATGCATCCACCTCTAATTGCATATAGAAGAACAAAACAAAATGATGATGAGGATGATGATAATACAAATAGTAAGAACAAAAAAAATCAAGGTAAGTTAATCAACTCAACTTGAATAAGCCTTAATCTGCTGCATATTAGTGATCCAGCAAAACTGAGACGAGGGGGAGAAGACCTTAACTAACCGTAGAAGTATGCCATAGAATTATAAGCATGTGCTTCTCAATTGTTTCAGTGCACTGCTCAATTCCTGATGGACATGTATTTCGTTCTTTTTTAGTGTCTTCCAAACTATGAGATCCATATGAGAGAGCTGATGATACTTTCTTTGTCCTTATGCAATCAGAAGTAAATTAGGTATCCAAAAGTTTTTCATCTGAAAGATCCTTAGTTCCTCTAAATCCAAATATTGTATGAACGCATTCGTCCAAAACCTGAAGAATAAAGCAACATCAAAAGTTATGAATCGATTGCAAAGTCTAACAAGGAGAAAAAAATAAATCAAAAATGGAAACTTGTGCATACTACCATATAGAGAGTTGACCCATTACATAGGTAGCTCCAAATATGGTATTAATAACTGAAATTTCCTTAAGATCAAATATATCTAATATGGCAAGAACAATCTATTGGCCTTCCATGAGTTTAGTTCACAAGATGTATTTGTAGAGTTTCCAATCCACCAAAATTGAAAGGAACTATGATAAAATGATACTAATGCCCATAAAAAGTACATTGAAAAGGGTTTGATCTGATATATTACTTGATCACAAAGATTATTGTCACAAACATACAATAACGTAAATTAAAAAAATGAAAAGAGGAAGTCAATTAGCAATGTCTTACTGTTATAGCAGCTATAACAATTTTCTCCCCTATAAACACAACAATATTTCCAGGTTGTTCCTTCTAGGTCTTTGTTGGAACTTCAGCAGTACCTTCTCTCAGAACTTTATGAACAAAAGCAAATATTTGTCCCCAACATACTAACATTAATTTTGGGTAATTGTGTGACACAGCTGGAACCGCTTGGAACATGTAATGTATATACGTGTATAACAGGTATTCTCAAATTAAAATACTCAAAAAAAATCTCAATCGACTAAACACAACAGAAAGTTTAACATATCACATATATATATATATGTATGTATATATGCATGAGCTTGAAAAATCTAGGTTTTAACCTACTTAAATACCAAGCAAAGTCTAACAAACAAACCAAACAAACAACCCCACATAATATATGAAATCAGATTCTTCCAAAATTTGCAAGAACGCCCTCTATCATTATGTTTCTCAATCAAACGCAGCATCGTGCAAAACGTATCTTTCTGATACCAACAAAATATATGTACCCTTTTTTATCTTGAACCATCTGTTTTTTTCACCTATAGCTTCATTAATATATATCGCAATCAACCAAAAGCCAATTATTTCAAATTTTTTCTCTATGTGTGATTGCTGTCTTAGGGGGAGGAAAGCACACAAACACATGCATAAGAACGTGTAAACATGCTAACTTAACATCACAACAAACAAACCAAGCATTATCTTTACAATAAACTTCATATAAGTTTCACCAATTCTACTGCACAAATACTAAATTTA